CTTTATATAAGGAGGACCACGTTTTGCTACTACACTGTTTCTTCCATTAAAACTTGGCGATACTATTCTGATAACGTCATTCAGATTACCGTCCCCAACTTCTTCAATCAAAAGATCGGAAACGTTGGCCGCAAACTAAAACAAATGAAGATAAAAAAGCTAGGAACTTTTATGTAGCTGCTTGTTCATTTCTAAGAGAAGCTATTTTTTTTTTCAAAAATACTATTTTTTTTAAAATGACAGTAGACAATAATACACCATATTTTTCTATATCAAAGAATGCATACATTTTCAAAATTAGCATAGAAGCTTATTTTGCCATGTGACGTTAAGCAAACAACAATCAATCTGATTGATACAGGCTCTAAATAAAATTGAGAATGGAAATGGGGAATGTGTCAAAGAGACAACAACCCGACCATAGAACAGACAACAGCAGAAGGTCACCAATGTAACAGTAAATTTGGTCCGGTAGTAAAATTTGTCCACCAGACTTTTTTTCCTAGTTAATCAAGTCCATGACCATTATTTTACTAGGAATTTAAGTCCCAGGACAAATTTTCCTAGGAAAATAAGTCCATAGCTAGTAAAATATGTCTGGCACTTATTTTCCTAGGAAAAATTGTCCTAAGACTTGTTTTTCTAGTAATTTTTATTATATTTTAAAAGTTATTGAACATAAAAAAAACATTATCTTAGTTAAGATTGAAAAGTTTCATTAATTTTTCTTATTAAAATGAAAGGACATTGTCGGACGTTATAACCTAGGCATGTTAATGACATGGACATGATGTCCTAGGAAAATTATTCTGGGGACATAAATTTTATAAAAATATTAATACACAACTCTAAAACAATATTAAAACATAACATTTAAATTTAACTTTCAAAATAAAGGGAATGGACGTTTTTACCTAGGAATATTAATGACATGGACATGATTTCCTAGGAAAATTAGTCTGGTGACATGAATTTTATCAAAATATTAATGCACAACTCTTAAACAATATTAAAACATAACATTTATATTTACCTTTTAAAAAAAAGGGCATGGACGTTTATTCCTAGGAATATTAATGACATTGACATGATTTCCTAGGAAAATTAGTCTGGAGACAAACATTATATTAAAAAAATTGATACACAACTCTTAAACAATATTAAAACATAACATTTATATTTACCTTTTAAAATAAAGGGCATGGACGTTTTTACCTAGGAATAACAATGACATGGACATGATTTCCTAGGAAAATTAGTCTGGGGACATGAATTTTATTAAAAATATAAATACACAACTCTTAAACAATATTAAAACTTAATATTTAAATTTCCAATATTGTTTAAATGTAAATGATTTGATTCATTAATAATTTTTCCTATAAAAAAAAAAAGAACATGGACGTTTTTACCTAGGAATATTAATGACATGGACTTGAATTCCTAGGAAAATTAGTCTGGGGACATAAATTACTAACATCGGACTAAAAATACTAGTAAATTCTGTAACCATGGACTATTTATACTAGTAATATGTGTCCACCCGGACATATTTTACCAGGACAAATTTATCTCTTACACCAACAGGTCTTCAATGCAGCGAGAAATTCCCGCACCCGGAGGCGTCCTTCAGCTGGCCCCTAAACAAATATATATACTAGTTCAGTGATAATGAACGCCATACTAAACTCCAAATTGTACACAAGAAACTAAAATTAAAAATAATACAAGACTAACAAAGGCTAGAGGCTCCTGACTTGGGACAGGCGCAAAAATGCGGCGGGGTTAAACATGTTTTTTGAGATCTCAACCCTCCCCCTATACCTCTAGCCAATGTAGAAAAAACAAACGTGGCGATAGCTTTTTAAATTTTTTCTTAGAACTGACCATAAATATCTACAAATTCTTCTTTGAACTGACGATATCGAGTTTAACATGAAAAGCCTTTGAAAGAATTTCGGTTTACAAGAAGTGAATGTAAACATTATATCTCCTATGAGCCATCTGACCGCCCTAATCATGCGTCAGTGTCAGCATTATATAAACGTATGCTATTGAAATCCTTGCGCTCCATACGCGTTTCTGCAGCAAGTAAACAGGTATGTTATTCCATGGAGTACCAGTTGCATATGAGTGGGCTAAAAGGGGGAGGAGGCAAGGTGACAATAAAAAAAACCCAAAAAACGAAAACAACAACAAAAAACCTTTCTATTTTTCTATCGTCTAATAGTCTAGATGTTAGTGTTCTTTTTCATTTCATTATTTTATTTTCAATAAAACGTTTTGGGCCAAAAAGTGGGTTGGAGCAATTGTCCCCTTGTCCCCCGGTCCCTAAGCCAGGGAGCACATTCCATTTGTTGAAAACTGAAGATGGTCTATATTTTATTTATCCTACCTCTAATCCTTTACAGCCACTGTTGTCGTGACATATTCGTTTAACATTTTCAAACATTGTCACGGTGTCCTCTGCAGACATGTTTAACCGGATATGTGAATATATACAGCCTGCAATAAAATCAATTTAAACAAATAAAACAAAAATTGTCAGGCAATACAAATATAATTCAGTGAAACGAATTTAAAACATATTCGGAATATGATTATTACTAAAATATCTTATCAAATTTAATTTATAGTGGACAAATTGTGGTTCCTTTTGAGAAATCAAATATGGTTGATGCACAAAGCAGTTATTTTTTATTATTACATTCATTTTGACTATTTTGCCATTTTGTTGATTTGATTTGTCAATTTTCTGCTTTAGTTACATTGGTACTCCTTAAAGTGATATGATAGTCATTTTTTTTTTGCTTTTTATGACGCCGAATGTACTCCTACAACTTGGACCCATCAGTGAGATTATTAAGTCCAGATTCTGATCCATTAAAAAATCGTGATAGACTATATTTCAAGAATCAGTATTAAAAAAATAACTAAAGATACCAGGCCTTGTAATTTTGTACGCCAGATGCGCGTTTCGTCTACATAAGACTCATCAATGACGCTCGAATCAAAAAAGTTATACGGCCAAAAAAGTACTAAGTTGAAGAGCACTGAGGACCCGAAATTCCGAAACATTTTGCTGCATACAGCCCAGGTAATCTATTCCTGAGGTAGAAAATCCTTAATATTTCTAACAATTCAATTTAGAACTTGTCATTTGATATGGACGATTGTCCATCGTTGATTTTGTGACCTCTAAAATTGTATTATATATAGCAAACTGAAACAATTTCTGAAGATTTTTTCAGTCAGCAGAAAACTGTACAAATATGCATTTTGAATATACTAGTAGTCGTATTGCTTATAGATAACCTGGTTATTTTTTTTGTTTGGGAGAAGAATTTGAATAAAAAGACAAACATAACTGAACAAAAAACTACACAGAAAACTGGATTGAGCAACACGGACCAAGTCAAAACACGAAATTATGAATTAAATTTATATTCCCCGGAAGGTCAAAATCTCGACTCCACACATGACATCTGAAAAGTCGCTTCAAACAAATTAAATGCAAGGTTTATTCCTTAATTGCAAATGTTTTTATTACTATAGCGATCTTCAGTTATATTATCCTACTAAACTAAAATGTTCGCATTCACATATTGAATTTAATTAAGATGCTCAAATTTGAAATTGAAAATTCAAACGAGTCATTATAGTCAGACATACATGTAACCATAGAGGAAAAATCGAAAAGATCAAGATATGAAGCAGACCTTCTACTTTCAGAGGTATCCTTAATCTCAAGTTCACTGGGGTATATGAGATTGACGCACACTCACTTTCCCCGAAATGTTGGATATCAAATGACAGGATATCATCAATATACTAGTTTCTGAAAATGAAATTAAAGAACATGGCAATATGCTTTTACTCTTCTGTTTGAGAGGATTTTGTGTGAATTCTGCTTCACATGAGTACGAAAATCAAGTCGGCAAGTAGGGGTGTACAATTAGTATCCTTTGGAATACCCACTGTTTGTTCAAATATCAATCCAACAAGCTCAACAAGTATATTGTAAACAAAAATAGTTCTGCATTTTGAGGATGTCATCATTGGGGTATTTATTGCTGGTATCAACGTGAATATTGGGGAAAAAAAGATTATGATTTATCACCGATGTTTTTTGTTTGTTTTGTGTTGTTGCTTATTTTGACCAAATTCAAATTGAACCAAACTGACTGATATATAATAGCTACTTATAATATTATTTCAATATTCCGCTTTTCTAAATGTTTGAAAAAAGTCCCATATTTTATTTGTTTTTCTATATCGTAGCTAATACAAATGCTCCTTCAAATATGAGAATATTGCTCTTATAATTTTCTTTCAGAAAAGAAAAAGCATTTTTTTTTTAGATCATCAGGTATTCGTTTTTATCTACAAAACAAACTGACAAAATAGATTATTTTACTATACATTCTAATAATACCAATAAGAATAATCATAACTTCATTCGCAATACAGCTCGTAGAATATACATTTAACAAATATTCACAGCACAATAGCATCAATGTCCACCCGGCAATTAATCTACACACAATATATTCCTTTATAAAAGTTATATTATCTGAGTTATCTCCCCTCATATAGCTATTTGAACAATATTGAATCAAACAAAACAATATTTGGTATTTGTTATAAACAGTCGGAAAAGTAAGATAAAACACATAATTTTCATCCTTTCGTTGAAAATTCATGTAAATTTAATGTATTCTTCTCACAAAATTTCGCGGCAAATTTCCTTAATCTAGACCTTTTGTTTTCTGCTATTTTACAATCCAAGCCAAAAAGTATTGCACATTTCAAAAAGAAAATAATTGGTGATTTATTTATATATGAAGAACAAATCATCCCAAAATAAAATCATGTGAAACTTAATAGGAACTCGCATGCATAAAATATTGATGGAGTCAGGAGATGGTAATTTTTTATTTCGTTTCACTTTGGTAATTAGTTATATTTCGTAAAAGGTTGTCTTACTTTGCTCAAATTTACATTTCCTGTTTACACAGGAAGTAAATGTCTGCTCCCAATTGATGACGAAAGATCATGTTGTGATATTGTTTATTCTTCCTCAAACATGGGGAATTGTCTAGGAAGGTGTTTTGGTATTTCTGACAAAAGGTGCATACTATGTAAATGTAAACAGACAGTAAAACGATTACCTGTGTACACAAGACGACACGCCCCCTTTATTGAGATTTATGAGAAATTATATCTGATAAAATCGTACTTACTTTCTATCACCTGTACACACTGGTCTATGTCACGAGGGTCAGTCGAACTGTAGTCTTAAAATCGATCACGGAACGTGTCATTAGTCCGGTAATTTCGTTCGTCTGGTCATTCCGTTCATTTCGTTAGACGTTAAATTAAAGGACTAACCGGACGAACAAAAGTACCGGCCAGCATCGTACATTTATATGAAAGTATCAAATCCAGTTTTTACCTTGCCAAAACAATTCTAATACAAATATAAAATTCAGTAGCTGAAGTCAGACATATATATTTCTCTGCTGAAGTACAACATGTACAATATAGTCCCCAGACTACTTGTTTTGACAGTGGTTTCTTTGTAAAAGTCAAATTAATTTAAAAAAATCAACTAGGCTCCAACATGAAATAAATTCACCTGCCTTAGTATAGAACATTATTATTTTAGTAAAACACACACCTCTATCTCTGCTTTCTCTCTTGGATAAAAGCTGACAGCTGATAACTACCCTACTTTCACTTTGGCAAAATTGCTACTTTCACTTTCTTCAATTAATTTATCCCAATATTTTACTTTTTGCAATATGTATGTTACTTAAAGCTCCACTTAGATATTTTACTATATTCAAATGGTAGCAAGAAAAATCAGGAAGAAATACCGAAATACCCTAGATACATTAATTTATATGTAATACTTGCAAACTACAAATAATTTCAGACAGAGAAGAAAGGGAATTAATTGTGATGAGGCCTATTAGGCTATTGAACATGAAAATAAAAATGCAAAATGTTATCACAATCTGACAATTTTTGAAAGACACTAAAAAGTTCATTTGTTTTCATCTGTCTATCTTTGTGATAAGTTATGTGTACTTCTAAACATGCAAAAGTAAATTTAGACTTGATATTTTTAAATTTAAGACCTTTTGCCCTTTTAATGTTTGTACAACATATGATGAAACAAGGGAAAAAGTACAAAAATTTGAATAAAGTTGAAATCTATGCATGCTATATTTCACTCAGTCTCTCATATGTAAAACATACGACTGGACCAAGAAATAGTGAGATCTTACGTAAAATTGGTGATAATGGCATTTTTGTTTTAAAAAAGATTTAAATAAATGATAGCTGATCATATATTTCAGCCACTGATTGTTTCATCCTATTAAACAAAACAAAATATGTCTTCACTGCAATGATGATATTTGAATTAGTTTACTCTTTCTGTGGTTTCACTTATTTACAGTTAAGAATGACAAAAGAAATGTCTCTTCATGCATGAAATAGATAGCAGGCCTCATCCATTATTGATAAACACTCGATACATGTAACTGCAATGATCAATTTATGAACTGTTTTTCAGAAGAAAGTTTTTGAGAACAAGGTACAATGTAGAAAGAGATATTTCCATAGAGGTAAGTTTCCTTCAGTTTGTATATTGTAATCTTTTAGAAGGAAAATGATATATATAGTAACCACATAATTTCTAACTTGATAACAAATGCAGATTCAATTTTTGCAATAGCTAACACGCTTTATTAATATACAAAACTAGTCTTGAAAATGATGCATATTCTGGATAACTTTTTTTCATCTCTCCGCCCAAAGAATATATTTCCTCTAATTCTTTAAAACAGCTACTTTTGTTCAGATGACATCTTCATTTTCAGCATTTAAGTTGGTTTTATATAAGCATCTCAAGTTGAACTTGTCAACATCACAAAAAAATCAAATTAAAGACATCTTGTGTTTCTGCTTCTATGCATTCAGGTCTTGATAGGGGGTCCTTTATATCTTTGTTCTTTAATTCTTTAAACCATTTGTCTCTATTTTTTATTTATTTTGACTGTGATTCTCTATTCTTTATAGTTGAGCACTACTTTTTTCTCTATTCTTTATTATTTTTGCTTATTTTTCTCTATTCGTTATTGTTTGCTTTTTATTTGCACTTTTTGCCCATTATTTTCTATTCTGTAAACCCCATTCAGACCTTCATGCATCTACCAACTGAAGTTTCTTTATAATTTATGAAGCTTGATTGAGGTTGTTTATATACTGTGGAGATATACAATACTAGATTTGGTTTACAAATCATTATGAAGCTTCCATTTAAAAAGCCATATAATTAAAAAAGTATAAACATTTTTAGATATTTCCAGGTTACTTAATTTAGTATACTTTCTTACTCTCATAGCCATGCTTATGTTGAAGGCTATTCAGTAACCAATAGTTGTTAACGTCTATGTCATTTGGTCTCTTTTGGATAGTTGTTAACATCTATGTCATTTGGTCTCTTTTAGATAGTTGTTAACATCGATGTCATTTGGTCTCTTTTGGATAGTTGTTAACATCTATGTCATTTGGTCTCTTTTAGATAGTTGTTAACATCGATGTCATTTGGTCTCTTTTGGATAGTTGTCTCATTGACAATCAAACCACATCTTCTTTTTTTATATTAGATGGAAAAGTTGTGTATCTGAAAAAGAGTAAATTAATTGGATATAGTAAATGATTCATTCTCAATTTCTGCCAAGCATGGAAATAAAAAAGATACTTTTATCATTCAGATTAACATAAGTTATCCACATTTTGTGTCTGTAATTACGCCAGGCTATCCAGACCATGTGTTGTTCATTGTTGTTTCTTGATTTTTGTAGGAGTTGGTTGTTAGTGGTTTGTGTAGTGTGCTGTCCAATAATCACATGATACTTATGATTCTTACTATTATCCTTTTTATGTAATATCAAAAAAATGTTTCTCAAAATTATGACTAGAATGTTTAGTGTTTGTCTACCTGCATGATGGAAATAACAGAGTTAAAACAAATAAGAGACATTTATCATCGTTTTATTTAGCATATTTAAAATACAAAAAAATCTTTCATATTAGACAGAAATAATAACTTTATGCGAAAACAAATACATTATTTCCTATTTTGTAGTTTGATTTTTGATTCCTTACAAAAGACACTTATGATCAGACAGTAACATCACAAATGCTTCATGATTCATGTTTGATTTGTTCCTTATGAGTGACTTGCATGAGATCGTATGCCTTTTTTTATGATTTCATGATATATAAATTGTCTATTTTTATTTTTATTAGCAGACACAGGTATGGTTGCTGCCTTACGTCTTCCACCTATCACAAACTGTATTTAGATTAACTACACCTTGTGACCCATTTTCGATCCCAATACACATCTACCTCCTGTTTTGCAAAAACACAAGTTAATTGCAGTTGTTCTTCACATGAAGTCATCAAAGTCCTTATGGCATTTTGTTAGTAGAAATGCACCACTAAAATGCAATACAAAACGAGTTATATTCTGGGACTTAAACAGTTTTTTTCTTTGGTCCAGGTTAAGAGGCCTAAAGCTGGTTTTTCTCAATGGTAAGAGTACTTAAAACATATAAATGCATTTTTGCACCTGTCCCAAGTCAGGAGCCTCTGGCCTTTGTTAGTCTTGTATGTTTTTTAATTTTAGTTCATTTATATGTTTTGGAGTTTAGTGTGACGTCCATTTTCATTGAACTGGTACACATTTTTGTTTAGGGGCCAGCTGAAGCCTGCCTCTGGGTGTGGGATTTTCTCGCTGTGTTGAAGACCCCATTGGAGGCCTTCTGCTGTTTTCTGCTCATTGGTCAAGTTGTTGTCTCTTTGACACATTCCCCATTTCCATTCTCAATTTTATCTAAGCAGGCATCATCTGGGTCATTTCCTTCCTTTTGGACATTTTTCACACATTGATTTGAGTATTAATTTAAAGATTTCTAAATGAAGCAATTAAGCATTTTTCAGTCTTTCCTTGAGCAGATGAGAATTGAAGGCTTAAAACAAATATCTGAGACAAAATTTGACAGTAGCTTATAACAATATCTCATAGACAATATCTGAAGAGTATTTTTGATAAATTTATAATTCTAAGTGATATCAAATTAAAGGGGTAAACATTGCCCTTATATATCATACATTCAACTTTATTTAGTAAAATTCATTTCAACTCCTTTATGGACAGCACAGGTACTTGTGTAACCCTCTTTAAATAAAGAATTATTATTATTATTATTATTATTACTTGTTTCTATCCATTATGAGGTCGACTTCTCAAGGATAGAAACAACTGCCTGTGAAGGACAGTGTAAAGTTTTAAAATGTGAGGAAGCATAATTGAAATAGAAGAACCATAACCACAGAAAAAGTACAAAAATTAATCCTCAAATATTTTTATGCCCCCGCCAAAGCAGAGGGGGCATTAAGTTTTACCCTTGTCCGTCTGTCCATACGTACGTCTATACGTCCCAAAATTGGTTTCTGTTCTCTAACTTAAGTTTGCCTCAACCAAATGTTATCAAACTTATACACAATGCTTATTACCACAAAACAAAGATCAAGTTTGAATTTTGGTGGTGTCACTTTAACCATTCTAGAGTTATCCCCCTTTAAAAATGGAAAAATTGCAAAATTTTTTATTTCCGTTCTCTAACTTAAGTTTGCCTCAACCAAATGTTATGAAACTTATACACATTGCTTATTACCACAATACACAGATCAAGTTTGAATTTTGGTGGCGTCACTTATACTGTTCTAGAGTTAAGCCTCTTTACAAATGGAAAAATTGCTAAATTTTTTTAATTTTTTTTCTAAAAATATCAATGATGTCATTGTTTAAGGAATTTTCAAAATTGGAGTTATCTTCCTTTGTGCATGATTATAGTTGAATCAACTACAATCAATGCTCTATACAATGCAATGTTTAATTTTGCCTTCCACTGATAAAACACAGATCAAGTTGAATTTGGGTAGTGTCACTTTAACTATTATTGAGTTATGCCCCTTTATAAATCGAAAAATTGCTAAATTTTTAGTTTCCGTTCTGTAACTGAAGTTTGCCCCAACCAAACATGAAACCTACACAATAATTATTACCACAAAACTAAAATCAAGTACAAATTTGGGTAGCGTCAATTTTATTGTTCTTGAATAATGTTGTATACAAGCGGGGGCATCATCTGTGTCCATGGGGACACATTCTCCATTTATTTAATTCTTAGATTTGTTTTAATCTTTTATGACCTACGTATTTTAATTGTATGAAGAAAAGAAATAAAAACACCCAGTTTGAAAAATAAAGTATGAGCTTTTATAAAAAACTTGCCTGACTTCAGCAATTATTTATTTTTGTAATTGTGGTAGTGATAGTATAATTGTAGATACCATCTACCAATACTTTTTGAAATAAAAAGAGTTTTATAATAAATATGTTAATGGATATCTTATTGAATAACACTTACTTCTTAAAAAATGCAATTTGAATAATAAAAATGAGACAGGTGAATATATAAAAACTCATAATATTATTCATGCAAGATGAACTGGAATCTAGTTATTGTTTTCAAAAGATGTGTCAAGTACAACTTAGTTATGTCTGTTATATTTACATCAGTACTTACTTCTGACAAAATTGACATCATTTCTTATTTTGCCTAAAATATTACAATTTACATTCCTCAGTATCAAAATTACTTAGAAATTAAACCAGTTTCAGTTTAAACTTATTAACATGTAGTTTTCTTTGCAAGACATTCTTGAAATGTTTACCAACAATATTTTCTTAAGTCTCACTAGTTTTTTTCAAAAGTAATATTTTTGTCTTGCCTGGACGGAGTCAAAAAGCGAGACATAGGTATGCTGTTTCCGGCCTCAGTGGCGGCATCAACAATGTATTAGTTTGTGACTAGGTCTAGTTTATGGTGAACCACTAGTGGTAGGTCAATGATATTTGGTATGCAGTTGTATTAGCACTTGAACATCTCATTACCATGGAGATTATTTGGCCCCCTCCCCCTCAGTCATGGTCTATTGACTTTGAAACTTTGCTTAGTTTACATGTATTAGTTTGTGATTAGGTCAGTTTATGGGGAACCACTAGTGGTAGGTCATTGATATTTGGTATGCAGTTGTTTAAGCATTGGCATATCTCATTTCCATGGAGATTATTTGGCTCCGCCTCCTCAGTCATGGTCTATTGACTTTGAAATTTTTACTTATTTTACATGTATTAGTTTGTGATAAGGTCAGTTTAAGGGGTAGGTCAATGATAATTGGTATGCAGTTGAATAAGCAGTAGTGCATCTCATTTCCATGGAGAATATTTGGTCCTAACCCCTCAATCATAGTCTATTGACTTTGAAACTTTTGCTTAGTTTACATGTATTAGTTTGTGATTAGGTCAGTTTAAGATCAACAACTAATGTTAAGTCAATGGTATGCAAAGGTATTGGCATTTGCAAGTTTCATTTCCATGGAGATTATATAACCCCACCTCCTCATTATGGTTCATTGACTTTGAAACTTTTACATAGTTTACAAGTTAATGTTTGTGTTAAGGTTTGTTTAAATGGAACAACTTATGAAAAGTCAATGGTATTTGGTATGCAGATGTATTAGCATTGTATTTCCATGGAGATTGTTTAGCCCTGCACCTTCAGTCATGGTTCATTGACTTTGAATATTTGCATAACTCACATGTTAAAGTATTGCTATTTTAATTTCAACATTTGCATTATCAAAATAACAAATAGGCGAGACATATCTCTGTGTTAACAGTTTATTCTTTTGTATTGATACTAACTAGTAAGTTTTTATACAGGTATTGTATTTGATTGAAAAGTTCTCTGTCATTTCACTGGCAATACCATCAAAGATGCATTTGAAAAAATTACATATGACAGAATAAAGCTATCAACCTATGATTCCATATCATGTAGGACTGATGAAAACTGAATTTTAACCGTAATATTACTCTGTTCAATACAAAAACTAAGATAAACAGAAGATATAAGAAGATGTGGTATGAGTGCCAATGAGACAACTCTCCATCCAAGTCAAAGTTTATAAAAGTAAACCATTATAGGTCAAAGTATGGTCTTCAACACGGAGCCTTGGCAAAAACTAAGATAAACAGCTCCCTATTTCCAAAAATCCAGATTATACCAGTTTCATAGAAGTTAAAGATAAAAAATGCCCACCACCAATTGTCATGTTTGCAGGTACAATTAAGTCCAAGTTATGCTATTGGAAAGCACATTATTAATGGACAACAATGGAGAATGCAACTATACTTGAGAGTTTCATAATTTCATGTTAGTTATTTTGGGAAAAAGTCCAGTCCAAAATTTCAATTTTTCATTTTGAAATTTAGCTGACAATTTCATGTCCAATATATAGTATATGTATAGGCCTTGAAAAGACAATAAATTGAATAAAAATGTTTATATGTTTAATGAAATCAATTGACAAACATAAATGTATAACAAGAAAAGATTAAACAACAACAATAAATAATGAAAATATGAATAACAATAGTGCATTTACGTCAATAAATTATTTAATAAATCTACCTGATATTTTATGAGTTTTTGATAACATAAATTCAAATTAAACAAAATATCTTCTATAATGCCATTATTTACATACATGTCTTTTTTTTTCTCAACACACTTTGTCTTCTTTCAAAAGTTCATTGTTGATTTATACAATGCCATGACACTATCCATGTGGTAAATATTGTCAAAAGATAAAAAGAAAAAGAAAATGATTTACATTCTTACAAAATGTTATGATTCGGTTCTATATCCCAGTAATGTTACTGATTGTGATATTGTTTATGGTGTCAACAGAACCGAGTAGATTGTGTTGACCTTCCCACAAACTCATTTTTGAGAACAATGAACAATTGAACTTAAAAGCAGATCGTTAAAACTGTCAATCTTTTCAAATAAACTGAGAATAATATTATGCCCAGGAATATAAAAATTGGTCTGAATTTATTTAAACATACGTTTTCAAATTAAAAGGACAGAAAGATTATAGTACATTTTACAGTGCATTGCATCGTTCCCGAAATTTCAAAAAGACATGAGTATCCAAAAATTAAATATTTCAGCAAAATATAAAGTACAAACAATATAAGTATACAAGTGACTGTAATTGATTACAGAGAACAACATTTATACTTCTAAGTACACAAGCACACGATAAGAATGAACAAGTTTCAATAGTCTAAACTAAAATGACAGATTTTCTACTTTTTTCACTGCAAAAAAATGAACACCACATCATAGAATGTTGGTCAAATGTTTCATTTCTCACGGTCTTTATATAATTCAGATGATAATTTTTAAATGATATAATTATACTGCTTTTATTTAAAAAAATGGTAAAATAACCATCGGTGCAAAAGGAGGTACAATGAGGCCTCTTTTTGGCCCTATAATTTCGAAAATCAAAAAGTTTTACAAATCTATCAAAAAACATCTATTAGTTTTACAAGACATTTATAATTACTATGTCAGATATCAGTATTTATATTTTTGAATTGTATCTTTATGACTTCAAATTTCATTAATTTCATGTAAAACAGCAAAATCTACCAAACATTCTCATTAAAAACAGAAAATTTAACGAAAATTACCATTTCAGTGATTTTACTCTAAAATGCATTTTAGCCTAATTGACATTTTATTGGATTTGCATTATTGTAAACATCTTTCATTCATTTCCATATTTCATTGTGAACATTTTCTTTAGCGGTTCGATAAAGATTTTTTTTCATAAGTTTGATAATTCCATTTGTGTGAAGAAGTCGCTTCAGTTCAAAAGCATACATCAACGTTAAACTGTCGTTTATAATAGTTTGTTTGTATAAATTAATACGTCTTTCAAAATATTAATACAATATGATATACAAAATCACACATAGAAATTATTTTATAAATGCCTATTATCTAGGTATTGTATGGGAACGTAAATAGAGGATGTTGAACTGATTCGTTTTTGAGACAAGGTTTTCGTGTGATGACATTCACACTTTATAACAATGGCACAAATAGACCATTGATCTCGCTCATATGTATCCTCCAACATTTGTTAAGCTCCTGTTTATATTTTGAACAATTCTTACGCTTAGGGAGCTACCATTTGATTTTTATGGGGGGCTAGGATGAAAAATTTTGTCCTGCATTTTTTGTTAGTTGTAATCTCTGTCCTGCCTTTTTATTTTTCACTCAATTCGGTCCTGCCTTTTTTTTTTTTTATTATCCTGACTTTTTTAAAATAAATTGTCATCCTGCCTTTTTTTTTTTGCCAAGTTGCTCATCCTGCTTTTTTTTTGCTCAAAACTACTGTCCTGCCTTTTTTCAAATTTCATCCTAGCCCCCATCCCCACCCCCCCCCAATAAAAATCAAATGGTAGCTCCCTTATCTAAGACAGTAATTTGTATATGGACACTCTATATAGAATGTATAAAAGTATGAATTAAGTATTTACGTATCCGTATATAGTGAACAAATGACATGTATGTGGTATTTTGATAACTTCTATTAACATACAGCGTACTCCTACCTTCTAAAAAAGTCGCAATTTGCTCAAATTAAAAAAGATAACATTGGGTCAATGCTTACTGCTAGTGACGCGGACCAGGACCCTATTGGCTAATGACAAATAAAAGTTATTTTACTTTATCGTGCTTTATAATCATATCTCTGTGAATATTGTGGTGTTCCATAGCGGCGTTGTGATCTATTCGAGTTGTCGGTGAAGGCAGGGGATATCACATCGATACGCACTGACCGAGGCGTTCTTGGTGTATATGTTGGGGATGGTGGAGGAAGTGCCTTTCTCTCATATCTTGGACTGGGATTTCGAATATAATACGTAGGCTGTAATGGAATCGGTGGTACTTTTTCTTGTGGTTTAACTTTCAGAATGTTGGCCTTTTTCTGCGCACGAAGGTCTCTTATCAGAAGACAACTGGCAACCACATATAAAGCAGCAGCGACAATTGTCAACCCAAGTGACCAAGATCCAAAATACGATGTTGGAATCTCAACCAACCAGATTATCATTCCAATCACACAGAAAAACGCTGAAACAGAAACGAATAAAAAAATGTGTAATGAAATTATGCTGTACACAAAATTACACAAATATTTTTATTTCCCTAAGTGAAAACAAAGTGTATAGATATAAGACTGTGTTAATTCTATACGAACATCGACATGAATATTAATAAAGTTTTCCTTAGTAATATTCTACTGATAAAATGATTTTTTAAACTTTACATTTACAGAAAATCATTAATAGGGTTTCCCCATGGTCATTTTTTTTCGCCACTCTTTCAATTTTAATTTTTTTCGCCAACTTATTGTCCTTTAAAATACGAATAAAATTAATTAATAAACACTAAATTAGAATATGATTTTTATAAAGAGAGCGGGAATGCCAGTGGTGACAATTGGAATATATCCGTGCTTGTATATGATACAGTTATCTCATAACGGTGAACCAACTCGTGAGAGTCTGTCAAACCTTCGAAGGAATGACTTTACCACTTGAAACCCTTGGTCCAATATCTTCCTTATAATCAGGAATCCTGTACCAAGCAGATCATGATAGGAAACACAAGCTCTGGAATAGTGTATCAACTGTGGAATATTCACATTTATGAATACTGTAAAATTGCATTACAGAGGCAATGCAACGTTCTGAATTAATGATTCGTTATTGAATATCGTAATTTTCATTAACATTACCCAAATATGAATGGAGCAAATCGTCTACACTTACTTGATGCTAAGCTAAATGTCATTATGGTAATGGCGAAACATCTTGTTCTGGCTTTTTCTGTAGCAACATATATTACTATAAAAATAGTTGCTAAAATGTATCCTACCATTGCAAGTGACTCTAGAGCCTGGGTTCCAAGAAACGAACCTGTAAAGAACATTTTCTTATAATTATAGGTTATAATCTATAAACAGTTTTGTGTCCTTTTTCTGACTATAAAGGTTACATTTTATCATTGTGAGACATTAGTTCAATCCTTTCAAGAGTGCGTTTGTTTAATTTTCATAATTTAGAAATGTCTGCAGTTTTCTTCCGGCACACCTCGGCAGATTAAACAATCAGGGTAGTGGATTCTGCTGATGTCTGCCGATTTAAAGTTACAGTGAACTGAGAATAAAATGAAAAAGAAAATTTCAAGGTCTACAGAAGGACGTGAAAGTTTAATTATTTAGGGACTGTAATCCAGCCTAATGAATATTATAGAAAAAACTCGTTAACTTGGTTTAAATATTTAGGGACTGTAATCCTGCCGAATGAATATTATAAAAAAATCTCTTAAACTTGGTTTAAATATTTAGGGATTGTAATCCAGCCGAATGAATATTATAAAAAAAAGCTCTTAAACTTGGTTTAAATATTTAGGGACTGTAATCCAGCCGAATGAATATTATATAAAAAAAGCTCTTAAACTTGGTTTAAATATTTAGAGACTGTAAATCCAGCCGAATGAACATTACAAAAAAAACCTCTTAAACTTGATTGCTTTATTTCATAACTTTGCCCTATTCCACTTTATTTTCCCTAAAAATAATAGACCAAAGTCTTTAATTTGTTTTAAAATTGGTAAAAGATTTATCACGGTACACTGAATATTAAAATCTATGCACCCATGATGTAAAGTTTTACATAATGCATGATTTTGAAAGCAGGCGTAAAGAAAAAAGGGAAAATGCTGTTTATTGTATATCACGAGACGTGAATCGAATACTGGTTACCTTTTTTTTTTAATATCTATAATTCCAATAAATAACAACGATTTGTAAATTATGTTATGTGTGGTGGAAAACCTGCATGACGATATGGCATTAAGAATTTACTGCGATGTAGTGAAGCGCCATAGAGAGAAATGGGATCTCCAGCATTCAAAGAATAATGTTTTATCTTTTTGGTCGAAAAATAAGCACATGTAAAATAACACAAAAACGGTCTAAGATATCTTTTTTCGTTTTACTGAAAGTTGTATTATTTTTTACGGAAAAGTATTGAAATATGGAATTTTGTGATATTACCTCAAACATGCCAAGATCAAACCGATATATCTAGAAAAGTTATTAATGGAGGTTTATTAATTTATCTTTATAAAAATATGGAGATGTGGTATGATTGCCAATGAGACAACTATCCACCAAATTTCAAATTAAGTGGTTGTAAGCAATTATAGGCAACCGTACGGCCTTCAACAATGAGAAAAACCCATACCGTATAGTCGGTTATAAAAGGCTCCGATATGAAAAATATGAAACAATTCAATTGAGAAAACTAACGGCCTAATTTATAACAAAACAATTCACGAAAAACAAATATGACAGACATGAAACAACGACAACCACCGAACTACAGGCTCCTGACTTGGGACAGGCACATAAAGAATGTGGCGGGGTTAAACATGTTTGTGAGCGGTCAACCCTCCCCTAACCTGGGAAAGTGGTGAAACAGCACAACATAAGAACAAACTATAAAAATCAGTAGAAAAAGGCTTAACACATCAGATCGAAACAAAGCAGAAAAACATCAAACAAAAACACAGACCGGACGTGGCAGGGTATTTATCCATCCCTCATCCCTAACAACAAAAAGGACACTAAGTACAGATCTGAGAGTACTTGCAGTTACTGACAGCTAGTTCAAAGCCAATAACAACTAATAAAAAAATCATGTATCTAATATTAAAATATCAATCAGTACACATCCAACATCCAATGGATTTAGTGTAAAGACGTCATTAACAGTCAGAGAAAAACATGACCTTGTGCAATGCCAAAATAAAGGTATCAACAGATTGTAGTATCGTTAAAGTGAATGGATATAACAAAACTATTTAGTATGATTTTAATTTACTGATAAGAAAATCTATATTTATACCAATAAAAACAATATTCAAAGATCTAATTACAGTGTTGAATTGGTAACCTTTTAGAATAAGTTTATTTAAAGTATTGATAAGTTTACCCGGATCGTTTTGCATGTTTTTGAGAGTGCTTATCAAAATTGATCTTTTGACAAAATTTGAATAAAAGTCAACGTGAGGTATCTTCTGTCGTTGGCCCTTAAGAAGGATGGAATGAATTATAAAATCAAGAAAAAACGAAATTAAATAAATAGGAAGTAGGAAGTATTTGTCCGTATTAAATTTTTATATCAAGGTTCAGAAAATTAAACATAGTGACATCAAAGTTGTCCGTTTTTTTTTTAAATTTCTGAGTCCTCTTTCGAAAATCCAAAGTCTGAATTTATTTCACTTCAATGCCGTTTTTATAAGGACAATCTTTACGAAATATCCCCGTATCACAGCTTCGTGTATGTACTTTGAGTTTACAGCAATACTACGGTGTATTTATGATCATTTGACCAAATAATAAATATCTATAGAAGGTTGAAAACAGAAATTTTTGGGTCTTTTTCTTTTTCTGGAGCAGAGGCGGATTTAGGGGGCCCAGGGTGCCCGCCCCCCTTTATGTGGGAAGAATTTGGTTAATTATATAGGGAATCACTGAAGCATGACTGAGCGGGTCCTCTCTTACGGCAGTCAGTGGCCCCCTTATGAAAATTTCTGGATCCGCCACTGAAGGAGTAATTGAGATCACCCCCGGTTTTTGGCGGGGTTCGGGTTCCTCAGTCTTTAGTTTTCTTTGTTGTGTTTTATAGACTGAAGTTTGTCTTTTGGACGTTTTTCGTGTTTTTGCCATGGCATTGTCAGTTTGTGTTGACTTGCGAGTTTGGATATCCCTTTGGTATCTCCCGCCTCTGTTTTAGGCCAATATTCTCTTTATTTATTTGATCTAATGGGTCTTTTAAAAAAACTTTCAATTTTTACTGAATGTACAAGATTACAGCTTGATGTATGTACATTTGTACTTCAAGATTCTGACAACATTTCTGCCTTATAATTTTGAAATTATAAATGCCAACCGGTATTGTAAAACTCCAGTTTAATAGATTTTGACAAATTTTACCATTCACATGACAAAGATGAATAATGTACTTTTAACTGTGTTTTTTTTTTTTTACCAATATCCTTAATTTGGAAAATTTAATCGGTTCTTCATTTTACATACTGCGATAAATGCTGTTAAAAGCAATTTTACTTAAAAATTCCTGAACTTTGACATGTTTTGGTTTTTTTCATTGAAATAATCGAATGATAATACTCATAAAGGTTGTTTTCAATAAATATTTGGTCTGTTTTTAATGTCCTTCCTTTCATCTTTTGACTCTAATCATATACCGCTTTCACTCAATATCCAAAATCGACTCCGTTAGTGAAAAATAGAGACGAAATTCCTTTCCGCTGTTAATTTCAGTTTAAAAAAAAATTATTATTACGAATAAAACTATGACGTAAGACAAACTCTTTTATAAACCGGTTTATACTATAACCTACAAATGAAAAACAAAACATTTCTGTAGACAACTCCATTAAAATTCTGAGGTAATCAAAATTCATACAGTGATGGTTTTCAAAGAGCTTAAAAAAATGTATTGGAAAGGAAATCTATATTATATGTGTACAAATTGCATTTGATATCTGAATTCAAATTTTTAAAAAGTTTTATTTTGTATAAAGGAATAGAAAAAGACATTCGATTTGAAACTTTTCATATCATAATGCATGTTAATGGTTGATCATTACACAACATCTTTATAAATTATATGATACATAATGACAAATTTCTCCCTATAACCATTCGTTATGAGTGCATCAATTTAATTATGACCTTCTTACCGGGGGTCTTGTATCAGTGTTGTATCAGGATGAACAACATCAATAAAACCACTTTGTTATTTTGGTTATTATATGGGTACATCTTTTTTACCAATGTCTTATGTAAACCCAATCGTATTTTACAGATGCATTTCAAATACTTAGTCGTCCATAGAGGCGGATTTAGGGGGTCCCAGGGGGCCGGGCCACGCTTATTGAGCTACTCATATGGTAAATCCATTTATGTACGTTTCGGCAATAAAGTTTATCGACAATTTGTAGGTATTCCAATGGGCGCCAATTGCGCCCCTTTAATGGCACAGTTTATGGCCAAATTCAGTAAAGACCCGTCTTAATTGCATTTAATTGATAAATTCAACAACACTTACCGTTATCTTGATGATATTTGTTCGTTAAATAATCAAGAATTTTCTTGATGTACTGCCGAAAGATTACCAAAAGGAACTTACTTTAGATAAATCAAATATAAACGGTAATAACTGTCGTTTCCTAGATTTAGATATTTCAGTTTTACAAAGTAAACTCTACACAATAATTTACGACAAAAGAGACGATTTTTCGTTCCCGATTGTTAATTTTCCTTTTTTGGACGGTGATGTTCCTTTGGCACCATCTTACGTTGTTTATAGATCACAACTCGTTCGCGATACCCGTGTCTGTAGTGACATTTTGGATTTCAATGGACGTAATCTATGTTTACTGATAAATTCTTATGTCAGGTATTTCGTTACCACAAATTACTTAAAGCCTTACTAAATTCTTCCATTGATACACATATTTGGTTTGGAAGTTTGGCAACACCTAAAGAAAACTTATTTCAAACGGTATAGCAAATCCTAATTTTTACGGAGATGTTGTTTACCGAACCCGTAAATTTAGATACGATCCGTGTAAATTTATCGATCCTTTGAGTCTTTAAATAAACTTATTCTAAAACGTTTCCAATTCAACACTGCAATTGGTTAGATCTTTGAACATTATTTTTTTTGGGTATAAATATTGATTTTGTTATCAGTAAATCAAAATCAAACTAAATATAATTGTTATATAAATGTACATATACACATTCATGGCTCTACAATCTGTCGATACCTGTATCTTGGCATTTCACAAGGTTATGTTTTTTTCTCTGACTGTAAATGATGTATTTTAGACTAAATCCATTGCATGTTGGATGTGTACTGATTGATATTTTAGTCTTAGATGCATGCATGATTTTTTATTGGCTTAGAACTAGCGGTCAGTAACTGCGAGTACTCTCAGATCTGTACTTAGTGTCTTTTTTTATTGTGGGGATTAATAGATACATGTCCGGTCTGTGTTTTGTTGGATGTTTTTCTGCTTTGTATTGATCTAGGTAAGCCCTTTTCAACTGAAGTTGATAGCTTGTTTTTATATTGTACTGTTACACCACTGTGTCCCAGGTTAAGGGGAGGGTTTGGCGTCAGCAAACTAGTTCAACCCCGCCACACTTTTCATTGGACTTGTTTTTGAATTTGGAATATTTGGTTTTTTTTAAGTCTTAATTATGGCAACGTAAGATTTAAAGTTATAATTCATATAGCACTTTAACTAGAGTATGTTGGGCTCTATTTACTTGACACTTTACACCATGGTTTGTAATCGTAAAAGTAAGTTTTTTTGTATTTTGAAAATGTTGTAGTTTTTTAGAGGGCATTACGTTTTACCCTTGTCCGTCCGTACGTCCGTCCCAAAGTTGGTTTCCGTTCTCATTTTAATATGATTTAGTGCATTTTAACATATCGCACACGTGTATGTACTAGCGTATGGTCGGATCAATTAACTATAAACTTGATAGTACTATGATGATATTATTTGGATTGGTAAAAGTAAGGTAACTTTTGACTTTTTTGAATTTTCTTATTTGTCGTTCCAGAGTAATTGAGACTTTAGCCGTTATTTTAAATATCGACTCACCAATTCGAGTATGCTTGGATCAATTTACTTCAAACTTCATCTTGTTGTTTTGATTGGCAAAACTAAATAGCACCCTTTTGATTTTGAAACTGTTCTTGTTTGTAATTCCACAACTACGAGACTTTATTCATTATATTTAAAGAAATATTTCCATGTCGCACACTAACACGAGTATGCTTGGATCAATTTACTTCATATTATTTTTGGGATTAGTGAAAGATCGTTTTTGTGTAGTGGAGTGTTGTTTGTCCTTTTTATGCCCCCGCCGTAGTCGAGGGGGCATTAAGTTTGACCCTTGTCCGTCCGTACGTCCCAAAGTTAGTTTCCGTTTTCTAACTTTAGTTTGCCTCAACCAAATGTTATGAAACTTATACACAATACTTATTACCACAAAACTCAGATCAAGTACAAATTTGGGTAGCGTCACTTTTACTGTTCTTCAGTTATGTCCCTTTATAACTTTATATGATATGCAAGCGGGGGCATCATCTGTGTCCCATGGACACATTCCCCATCTATTTTCAATTATGATGTTGTGTGTCTTTCGTAGAATTATTCTTACAATTTTTGCAATGACATAAAGCTGTTATTTTAATGATTTGGACAAATTTTTAGTTTTTATTAAGAATATAAATAAAAAAGAGTGTCTTAACCGAAAACAAAATTCTTTATGAATTGAAGCTATGTTTTACATTTCATATATACTATGTACAGGTAAATTCGTGTTGGTTCCGAAAGTTCTTCGATGCAAATAATACAAGAACATGTACAATGTACAAATTTACCAGCAATGTATAGATGTACAAATGCATTAACAAACGTGTCAATTTTAAGTATGCTTAAGCGTAAAATTAAAGAAAAATGTGTGAAGAATATCATTTAGACGTTAAATATTCAAATTCCGCTAGGTTTAATCAACTTTCCGATTTCATCTTTTGAAAAAAACAACATGACATATTTAACTTCAGCCTATTTTCATATGGTGCTCATGAAAAGTCACTTTGAACGACAAATGTCGCCATATGTTAGTTAACTGAAATGATACTATTAGTTTTATTTTTCCCTTAATTTCAATTCTTCTGCAAAACTGTTTTTACGAGTAAAAGTTTTTTTTTATTTTAAGAACAATTAGTCTGAAAATCTTATTTACGTGACAGACAATATCAAATTATGGATGTATAACATTTATCATATCCCTTTTTTACTCCCAAATAAGTTTCTTCAAAAAGGAACTTTTGAAGATACAATATTCTTACCATTTTTATAGGAATCTGGAACACTGCTAGTTTTACATGACCCGGATGAGCAATCATTAGTTTGCCATAGTCCTATAGAAACATCCAATAGTTCTCTAATTGTCTCTGACACCATCCATGCCGGAGTAGCATATCCAGATATAAACAATGGTAATCCAATTAATTCTAAAATTGCGGCAACTTTTGCCCAAGTTGAAGCGTCTCCACATATACCCATACTTATTTGCTAAAAACACTGTTCACATTTACATTTCTCCGATCTTAGTTAGAAATGAATGCGATGAACTTATATAAAAAAGCTTCGTTTGACATCATTTAACATTTGAATTTAAAAAACGTACGGTCTATTGAAATGACGTGTTAGGTGCGAAGTTTTTTTCATTATCTGATTTTTAATCACGTGATCAAATATTTTAATTAAATACGCGGTTGATATTGTCTATTCATTGCCTTTCATGTAAAACATTTGCTTTTCCCATTTTGATTTTTGAAAGGTATGTAATGTTCGTTGTAATCTTCAATAATGCGTCATGTAAGAAAACAAATATTTTATTTGCCATCATATAATGTGTGTAGAGTTGTAGACAATGCATACATAATAAATACACGAAAAACGTAAAGAAACAGTTGTTATAAGAAAGAAACCATTATTTCAATTATAACAATAATAATACAAGTAGAACATGGTGTCAAATATTATTTTAGATATTTATTTTTATAGTATTACTTTAAAAATGTTATTTGGATGGAACGTTTGTGTACGAATCCTTTGGAATAGAAATGAGAAACATCACACGGACCGCCTAGATACCGATGCACCGTTCTGCATTTAGATATATTTAAAAAACAATTTCTTCTCTATAGTGTGCCGTGTAATTAACATTTTTAAAATAAGAAATTAAAAGTTGAATAAAGTGCAGACAAAACATATGTTTACATTATGATATGTTTGAAATAATATTTGAAACGTAATCTTATGTTAATCTCTGTCAACTCAGAAGTTTAAAGCTAAAACATTTCAGTACTTTAATTTCCAATTAATATTAAGTTGGTTTGAAATTCAGCTTGCATGACTAAAAGATCAACAATTCACCTTTTTTTAAAACCTGTTTGTATGGACATTTCAGAAGCAGCTACACATAAACTGATGATATATAGATTTCTATTTAATAAAACGGGCATTAGCTGTCAAATTTATGTTCACCGATTTGACGCAAATTCTCATATTTGATTTAGTACATAATAAAACATACCCAAATTACAAAAAGACAAAAAGAAACAATTAAAAGTGCATGGAATCGTTGTAATGTATCAGCATTTCGTGCGTATTTTAGACGACGCATCAGAATTTATCATCGAGATGACCTCCGAAGAATACCTATATCATATGACCCGATATAAACATTAATGTCAATAAAAATAAACAGACAAGCACATTCAATCATAGTATGACGATTTTTTTTTTAGGTCTGTTCAATTTCATGTCATGATGATAGATTAAAAAATACAAAAATCTTCTTTTTACCAGTATATTTTTTTTTTCTGGGCCGAATGAGTCAACGAAATGGTTCTTTCTGGTGGCTCCGTTGTTCCACGTATCAATGTTGATATTCTTTTCTTACAATAACTAAACATACATCATGCACAACCAATTTTCGGCTAAGGGTCGAATCGAAGGTTGCATGAATACGGATTCATATGAGATAAATTATTGATTTACAAGCCAATAATACATCAGCGATGTTTTACTTAGCTTATATTGACAAAATTGAACCAAACTGACTTCTTATAGCGAAATATTATTTCAATATTCCGCTTTTTTAAAAGTTTGAAAGAAAAAAAATGTTGTTGATTTGTATACGCTCTTCGAAGACGGGACGGGACGTATCATTGGTATACCATTTGATTTGATTTTTGGTGTTTTAACGCCACTTTTAAGCACCGTTTTTGGGCTATTTCATGGCGGTCAGTTTTTATTGGTGGAGGAAGCCGCAGTGCCCGGAGAAAACCTCCAACCTTCGATAGGAAAACTGACAATCCTAGTCAATTAAGATTGGAGTCGAGTGCACCCGCACGAGCGGGGTTCGAACTCACAACCTCAGTGTTGACTGGCTAGTGATTACAGTAGTAACTACTTAAACCACTCGGCCACCGAGGCCCCTTTTTGGTATACCAATCTCCATCCTTCCGCCCGTTAACACTTCGTACGTTAACTCAAGGTCGCTTTAACCAATTATCTTTTAACTTTAACAAAACATTGAAATTGACGGAAGAAAGCTCTCTTTCAATTATTTTTATTATTGGCTCTGTCATTTTAGAGTTATTGAACCTCGTCCCTAGGATTATGGAAAGGAAGCTCCTTTTTGTTTTTTTTTTTTTTTTTTAATTTTCCAGTTTGTCGCATCAGAGTGACTATAAAAAAAAATAAGAAGGACTTTTTGATATGAGTAACCAACACAGAAATTCAATCAGAGGTAAAGCTATGTTTTGTCCTTCACATGTTTATTTAGGATGTCTTTTAATGCAAAAGGAGAAGGGACTGTAATGGCAAACAGCTGTAAAATGTGCAATATTGTATCGACAATGGTAAACACATTAGGTAACATTTTGATTTTAAGACATGTGTAAATTAAGGCGATATTTGTTTATCGATATTCAAAACTCGTTAAATCGATTAGGAAGAGATAAATCAATGTAACAAACAAAAACTGAGAGAATCACATAATCCAAAATGAGCGAGACCGGATGCGTCGACTGGGTAAGCGTCTCGTGATATACTAATACTTTTACTTCTGTCGTTCTGTTAATTTACAAAACTTTACATTTTTGAAATACTAAGGCTTTTCTACCTCAGGAATAGATTACCTTAGCTGTATTTGGCAAAACTTTAAGAACTTTTTGGTCCTCAATGCTCTTCAACTTCGTACTTTATTTGGCCTTTTTAACTTTTTTTTATTCGAGTGTCACTGATGAGTCTTTTGTAGATGAAACGCGCGTCTGGCGCAAATACAAAATTTCAATCCTGGTATCCATGATGAGTTTATTTACACTGTTACTCACTAACGCTTACATTCTTTTCGGTAAACAAATTATTTGCCTTTTTTAATCGGGAATTGTCAATTATTTTCTGCTACGATGTATAGCAATCTTCATCTCATCCACCCCATTGTCTGATAAACGACATATCTTTTAATATTTATTACATAGAAATATGTTCCTGGCTCTAGGCTGTCCATGGGGAATAATGAGGAATAATCTTTGATGAGTATTCGTCAATTGGCGATGTTTAGTATTGGTGTAAAAAATATTTTTTCTGTTATTCAATATGTGATTTCATTACTATTGTCAACTCGAGTCCTTTTCTGTCACGTCTCATCGATTGTGTTTTTTTGCTGCTTTTCGTCTTCGGACAAAAAAAAAATTGAACTCTGACTCAAATACAATACTAAAAGTTTGCATTGGATTTGTTTAGGTTTTTGTTCATATACTGACTCTCAAATCATGCCTTGGTTGAACAGTTTGATACGATGTTTATGTTGTCTATTCAATATTGTACATCCATTGTATCTTTTAATAAACTATGATTTGTTGGACGCGCCAATGCCTTGTAATTTTATACATTTTGAGTTTTTACACTGTTTTTTTTTCTCGGAACAAATAGTTTAGTCTTTGATAGATATTGGTTCGTTTGTTTGTGTTAAAGTTAAATGTCTGTTGTTCAACGGCAAACATTTTGGTTTTCTCAATCAATAATCATGGACATCATAAACTTGTTAGAATGATTAGAATGTGAGGTTAAACCATATTTTGAAATAAAAGCACTCGAACTTAGGAGTTTCATGAAGGTATATTTCTAGAAACTTAAATGCACTACAATATTAAGAGCCCTAGGTAAACTTTTACACGACCAACTTTAGCATATTCAATGATACAAATATCCAAATAAAATGGAATTGAAATATGAAAAAATGAATTAAAATAGGATTAAATACCATTAGTTGCGATGCTTTAAAGTACGCTATATATTTTGCAGTTGAGAGGAGTATGGAGAAATTGTACTTATACAGTGTATAGGACTTTTCCAAGTTTTACAAAACAAACTTCAAAAAAATGAATAAAAATGAATAAATAAATTGTACTTTTTTATTAATTTTTTCGATGTATCGTCTTATATGAATTGTATTTAATCGTTAGGAGTAGCTCCCATATTATTTTTATCAAATTGACCATTGGAGCTAACCTGAAGAAATGGGTTTATTCTTTCATTATTAATATCTTTTTTTCATAATAATAGTTTTGCTGATCATGTTATGTTATACTGTCTACATATAGGTATTATTAATCAGAATGTGGTCCAAATATGCCTGAATAAAATTGAAATATTAACAATTGGACGGTCATGTTAATTTATACACAACAAAGCTCATTATGGGTCCTGATATTGATAATACACATATGTGTACATAAGTTTCTAATTGTCTTTCTTATTTTTTTTTCAGTTTGAGAATCTGATGGACGATGTAAGTACAATGATTATTTGAATTTAATTGGAAAATATAAAAATATCATCGACAACTCGACTCATCTATGTATGTCAATTCATATTGTATGTGTACACAGAGAGACAAACAAACGGATATATATATTTGTTTGCTGACATCAGTATTACGTACTGAACTTTCAATATTTCACATATATATGACAAAATCTAAATTTATTGATGACCCAATTTTATAATTTTCCAATACGTTGACGCTAAAAAAATTTGAAAGTCATGTAAACGTTATAAATAGCAGTGAAACATTTGTATTTCTTAAAGGAAATAGCTCTTGAGATTTTCTACTTTAAAACGCTCTGTATGCGAACGACCACTGCGATAGTTCTCTTTTTGAAGAAATGTTTTATTATTAATTCATTAATAGGCGATAATTATCTCACTTTTCATGTTTTTGTATGAAACATTTGAATACGTTACACCAAGTAAGTATATGTTAACGTTGTATGCTTTGACTCTTTTCAATCTGAAATAAAATTCTTAAAAGAAAACTAAATTGATATAAGGACTTGGACCTATATTTTATAATTTTTATTTCATATCATTTTATATGTTTATCTTTGTAGGATAATAATGAAGATGAAATGACAAGGTATGACAATAAAGAAACAGTAGACATCAATAACTCATAAATGATCAGTCAAGTAATTTATATAGGTATTGATGAGTATATAAAAATCTCACAATACACGGTAAACGATTGTAATAGTAGATATAAAGAGTAGACGTTTGGGTATTCAATATATGTCATCCCTGTCGATGTTTTATCCCCGTCAAAGGTTTTAATGAAAAGATAATTCATCATGTTAAATCTGATATAGTGTATAAAGAAAGCATGGGTTTTAACGATTATAATGGTTTTAATCGTATAATTTGTATATGTCACAATCATTATTTGGTTGCAGAGTACTATTTCTATTAAAGTTTATGAAATTCTTTCTATCTAAAAAGAAGTGCATGAAAAACTGCATACAATGATATATTGAAATATTTTTGTTGAAATAAATAGGTTAAAAGAACTATGTCAAAAAAAAAAAGAGATTAATTTTCTGCAGGTCATGTTGAGTTTTGGTATGCCAACATTCTGTCTAATGGTTCAGATATAAAAAATGCAATTAATAAAGAATGTGTATATATGTTAAAAAAACTGGAAAATGGTGCAAAAAAATAAAAAGTTTAACAACTGTATTAATAAAGAAGAGTAGGTATTCCTCCGTGAACCAGTATTTTTTTAAATAAAGAAAAAGAAAAGGCAGCTATCTGAATACTTTCTTTTCATGAAGGCGATGTAAGAGCAGTTCTATACGTTCTCAGTTTTTATACGCCCGTTTACGGGACGTATTATGGTATACCGTTGACCGTCTGTCCGCCCGTCTGTCCGTCCGTCCGTCCGTCCGTCGTCAACATGTCGGACATTAATTCAAAAACGCTTTAACCAATATGCATGAAACTTTGGTGAATTGTTTATATCTATTGACGTGAGCTCCCTTTTGTTTTTTATAAATTTCGGATTTACCGTTTCCGAGTTTAGGGGTTTTATTCATTAAAAAAGTGGGGATTTTCCAGTTTTGGGACAATAACTCAAAAACATTTTCACCAATTTGTATGAAACTTTTGTGAATTGTTTATATCTATTGTCGTGAGCTCCCTTTCGTTTTTTATAAATTTCGGTTTTACCGTTTCGGAGTTTTGGGGTTTTATTCATTATAAAAGGGGGGATTTTCCAGTTTTCAGACAAGAACTCAAAAACAATTTCACCAATTTGCAAGAAACTTTGATGAATTGTTTATTTCTATCGACATGAGCTCCCTTTTGATTTTTATAAATTGTAGACTATACGTTTCCGATTTATGGGGCTTTATTCATTACAAAAAGGGGGATTTTCCAGTTTTCGGACAATAACTCAAAAATGCTTTCAGCATTTTTTACGAAAACTTTAGTAAATTGTTTATTATTTGTAGCCTCACCATTTCAATAATGATGTTCTGATTCATTTCCGAAAGATATTTTGACAGTCCTTTTACAGAAATGTCGGTATAAAAATGTGATTTTTTTTGTTGGAAGACCAAGTCTTCTTTTATCTACGGAGAACACCTAGTAATAGTTTTGAGTAATTAAATAAAATTTTCTTATCTGAAACTACTAGGCAAATCTTACAAAGACTGATTCAATTACATCGTAATGAGAAAACTTAACATTTTGTTATATCTACTCATGCAACTTTGGTATCCTGACCTTTTTTTGTCAGAATAATATACTTGTTTTATAATTTGATATTTTTTTTTAACATATTTCACATCTTCGTTAATTTGATAATATTTTATATTGACAATCGTAGTAAAATGCTTTTTTGTTTCAATTACTGAGTTAAACATTCAGTTTTAGAAAATGGTATCTCAAAAAAATATAAGTACCGATTATTAGGTTGACTGCCTTTCGATATTGTAAAATATCAGCTGCGAGTTACAATATGAAGCTTTTTGTCGAGTGATCGCAGCGATCAAGTTCAAAAAGGTTTCATATTGTGTCAAAATTTCTACGTTTATATAATCCCTGCCTTTCAAGAAATCAAAAGAATCACTGTCTACTTAGTTGCAAATACTTACTAGAACTGACAGTCCGCCAGCGGAGGTACTGGTCAATGCAGCTATTACCAGTATCTCAGGGGATGATATCAATGTCAGTACCTACGACTCATGTTTCTGGAACACTCACAACAAAACAGCCAAAAGTATAATGGTCGGCCCATTGTTTGCATTTGAAGAAAAAGGGTCACAACAAGCTAACTACTGACTCAAACACAGTACGGCAAATATGGTTGGGTTTCATTAAAGTTCAAATGTTTTAAGTTAGACTGTAGTGGACAAACGCACTTGACACACCTACAAAGTACGAGATGATGTCACAAATGCATATGAAACGTGACCACGATACAGAAATATAAAAAGGGATTGTCCTTATATATGAGAAGATATGTATAATCATAACAGAAGATGAAACAGGGCTCATTTCATGTGTTGGGGTTTGAGCTTTCCTGATGAAGATAAATCCAGAAAAGAGCTTATGACACATGACACCAATATATAAAGGTTTTTTTTTCTTTATTTCATATTATCAAAACGTTGTTGTATTCCTGCATTGAATATTTTTAAAATATGGCCTCTGGACTTCCGACTATCAAAATTAACGTATGTTACAGACCAAACAAAAACTGTTTGTGACATTTCTTCTTCTTCAAGTAACCGGGTTTTTTTTTCAAAATAAATAGATGCATGAACGAAGTGATAAAATGAAAATATGTGTTATGTAACGAAATAATGTAGATTTTATAAATTTATGTGAATATCTATAAAAGTGACCTTTAATATCCAAAACATAGCACAAGTTTACTTAAAATAGACATTTTAACAAAGGTCACTTGACTCTAACCAAGAGATTTGTTCATTCTGTTTAAAGCGCCTGCTTCTCTTTCTTTATGTGATGATATATGTGAGGGCAATTGAAGTATTTTGAGAAACAATGATGGCAGTAATAAATGTAACACTGTATTGAATAAAAAATGAATGTCTGTAAGTAACCTGCAAAGACGTTAATTTGAACACATAATGTTTAAGCGAATAATTATCTAAAATATTGAATATACTTAATTTATATTAAAAAAAGTCACTCAACTGAAATCTCTAATACCGGTTTTAGTTGTCCGTCTCTATTAACCATCCCTACGGATTATAGATGCATGTGATCATGTGTGTATATTAAGGTTGTTCTGAAAAATTCACAAAATTAGAGTTATCTTTCATCACGAATTTCAGATTTAGAATAAAAATTCAACTGCACTTTTAAATAAAGATAGAAAAAAGATAATCAAATGCAGCTTTTAAAAAATATTGGCTTCTTTCCTAAGTTGTTGCAAAATGTAAAAGAGGCTGAATCCCGCATGACTCATGTGTTGTGTCGCCCTTTTATATGCCGTTGAAAATGTAAAAGAGGCTGAATCCCGCATGACTCATGTGTTGTTTCGCACTTTTATATGCCGTTGAAAATGTAACGCATGTAATATCCATTATTGCAATAAAAAACGAGTTCAGATTCGGTCAAGTAGAAAATGCGAAGTTGATTGTACATGGTTTACCGCATCGGTTGTCCCGTGGAAGCGTGCTTGTCTCCATTGTGGATAGTCGCGGGTTCAAATTCCGGGTCAAACTTAAGACTTTTAGTATTGATAATTGCTGTCTTTTACAACTAAGCACATGAATGAAGGAGTAAGAGTAAATACGGGTGGGATCGGTGTTAAAACAACGATCTGAGTTGGATGATGTATTTTCCTGTTGACCTCTTTTTTTGTGGGTTAGCACGTTAAATATTCGAGACACCGTTTCAGTCTATAGTACAAATGAGGGTATGTTCAAACAACTTTTACATGCTATCATCTGGAATATTCGTGTTAGGATTTGACTCTTTCAAAAACATTATATACTTAGAATTAAGATATGTCCTAGCAGAGGGGGATTTAGGGGGAGGCCCCAACTATGGGACTACATATATGGTTAATGGATAGACTTTTTAGCTCACCTTAGGGTAACTAGTTTATAAATTGTATCTGAAGTTACTAGATCTATCAACAAACATGGCCACTGTTGCTTAAATTAGAACATAGGGGTCAAATGTAGCTTTTGGCTTATATCTCAAAAACTAAAGCAGTTAGAGCAAACGTGAAAGGAGTTAAAGTGATGAATAGGTCAAAATCTATCTGCTATGAAATTTTCAGGCCAATTGGAGAACCCATTGTTGGGTTACTGTCAGAAGTTGTTTATTTTTAGGAAATTTTACAGTTTTTATACGACCGCCAAAAATATTTTGTGGTCGTATATTGGTATGACGTTGGCGTCGTCGTCGTCGTCGTCCGGCGTCGTCCGAAGACACATTAGTTTTCGCACTCTAACTTTAGTTTAAGTGAATGGATCTCAATGAAATTTTACCATAAGGTTCAATACCACAAAAGGAAGGTGAGGATTGATTTTGGGGTTTATGGTACCAACAGTTAAGGAATTAGGGGCCAAAAAGGGGCCAAAAATAAGCATTTTTGTAACTTCCAGACATAACTTGTGTGTAAGTGTATGGATCTCTCTGACATTGTACCACAAGGTTCCATATCACGAAGGGAATGCTGGGATTGATTTTATGGGTAATTGCCTCCAAATTTTAGGAATTAGGGGCCAAAAAGGGGCAAAAAAAAAGCATTTTTCTAGTTTCATGACAATAACTTGTGTGTAAGTGTATGGATCTCTCTGACATTGTATCACAAGGTTCCATATTACAAAGGGAATGCTTGGATTGATTTTGGGGGTAATTGCCTCCAAATTTAGGAATTAGGGGCCAAAAAAGGGCAAAAAACAAGCATTTTTCTAGTTTCATGACAATAACTTGTGTGTAAGTGTATGGATCTTTATGAAATTGTACTACAAGGTTCCATATCACAAAGGGAAAGCTGGAATTGAGTTTGGGGGTAATTGCCCAAAAAGTTTAGGAATAAGGGGCCAAAAATAAGCATTTTTCTAGTTTCCAGACAATAACTTGTGTTCAAGTGTATGGATCTCTCTGAAATTGTACTGCAAGGTACCATACCACAAAGGGAAGGCTGGGATTGATTTTGGGGGTAATTCCCTCAAAATTTTAGGAATTAGGGGCCATAAAAGGGCAAAAAATGAAGCATTTTTCTAGTTTCAGGACAATAACTTGTGTGTAAGTGTATGGATCTTTATGAAATTGTACTGCAAGGTTCCATATCACAAAGGGAAAGCTGGGTTTGAGTTTGGGGTAATTGCCCTAAACGTTAAGGAATTTGGGGCCAAAAAGGGGCCAAAAAACAAGCATTTTTCTAGTTTCCAGACAATAACTTGTGTTCAAGTGTATGGATCTCTCTGAAATTGTACTGCAAGGTACCATACCACAAAGGGAAGGCTGGGATTGAGTTTGGGGGTGATGAATCATAAGGAGGTTCAAAAAATTTGGGGGGGGATTTTTTTTTTCATTTTTTTTCTTTAAAATTTTCCATTTTAAATTGGTTATTTCTGATTTATATATAAAAGCAAATAATAATGATATGGTTTGAATAGGTAAGTTAAAATTTTTTAAGTTCTTAGACCACTTCCATTCTGTGTCAGAAACCTATGCTGTGTCAAATATTTAATTACAATCCAAATTCAGTGCTTATCAAGCTTGAATGTTGTGTCCATACTTGCCCAAACTGTTCAGGGTTCGACCTCTGCGGTCGTATCAAGCTGCGCCCCAGCGGAGCATTTTATTGGTTATTATCTTTTAAATTATAGTAGATAGAAAGAAAGTGTAAATAAGAAAAATGCTCAGCTAAGTAAGATCTACAAATAAGTCAGCATGATCAAATTATCAATTGAACCCTTAAGGAGTTATTGCCCTTGAAACACAATTTTTTACTTTTTTTGTGCGTTTGTTACTTTTTAAAAAATCTTCTCCTCTGAAACTGCTTGGCCAAATACTTGCAAACTTTAACCGAATGTTCCTTAGGGTATCTTGTTTATAAATTGAATCCAAAGTTTTGCTCCATCAACAAATATAGCCACCATTGCTAAAAACAGAACATAGGGGACACATGCAGTTTTTGGCTTATATCTCACAAACTAAAGCAGTTAGAGCAAAGTTCAGACCAATTTGCCAACCCCTTGTTGGGTTATTGTACGGAATAGTTTTTTGGGAGAAATTATAGTTTTGGTTATTGCCCTTGAAAGATTTTTTTTATTAATTTTATACCTCAACAAACACATTTTTAGGAATTATATATAGGAATCACTCATCTAAAATATAATGCATTGTAAAAGAGGGACGAAAGATACCAGAGGGACAGTCAAACTCATAGATCGAAAACAAACTGACAACACCATGGCCAAAAATAAAAAGACAAATAGACAAATAATAGTACAGATGACACAACATAGAAAACTAAAGACTAAGCAACACGAACCCCACCAAAAAATGGGGATGATCTCAGCATAGCTGCTATTGCCAAGAAAGAACATAGTAGTAAAATGCAGTTTTTATATTTCATCTCTTAAGCAACAAGGACAAAACTTACAGAATAAATATGATCAACAATTTAAAATCTATCTGCAGTGAGATTGCAGACAAATAATTTTTTTTTTATTTTGAAGCAAATATGACCAAAACAAAGAGTTTTTAAGTGGCATTTTAAGCAAAAACCGATATACATTAAAAAGCAAAAATATAAATCATGATTGATGAATGAATTGAGCAAAAAAATTCAGGTGAGAGATTCAGGCTCTTGAGAGCCTCTTGTTACAAACCCTAACATTGCCTAGTGTTGGCCTCCTTTTTCAAAATCCTGGATCCGCATCTACCTAAGATCATCTTATTACATGTTTTACTTCTAAGATCCCCCTGATGATACAGTCCATGATTTGGAGTTTTTTTTTTGTCATATAAGTAAATTTCAAAGCAGATTTAAGCTTTTTAAAATGGAGCAGTTGATTTTGTAGAGTAAATTTGGAATTACAACCAGGACCTTTTACAGTTTCCTCCTATGTTGAGCGGGTAAGGTAATTTAAAAATATTATAAGATGTTGTACTTGGCTGTTATCATTTATTTATGTTGTACAAATAAAAAAGAAAAGACAATATGTCTTGTTGCAATGTTTTCAGTTAATTAATGTCTGCATGTGTTGAATTTTCCTTTTATTTTTTTGTATATTAGATTGGTGACTGAAAAAGAAAAACAGCTTTTGTTGAATAAATCTTATACGGACATCGTTAAACACCAAAAAATACTTGATGCAGAAATCGACTCTAAGGTAGGATACGATTTGCTTACAGGTAGCTTCTTCTTTGGTATACATTCTCTTGTATCCATTTGTAATATTAACTTTAAATGCAAAATTTCCATTTAAAGGTTCACATCCAGAGCTCTAGTTCACATACAAGACAGATGATTATTTGATGACTGTCTCGTAGACAAATGCACCCATTTTAATTATTTATATATGTGCATAAAATGAAGGTTTAGGATCAATCTTTATTGTGGTAATGCAATTTCTGAATATACTACGCATTTTATTTTCACAGAACGCTTCACTTTGCTATAGTTGTTTTTTTTATTCTGTTATGTTTATATTTAATTATATTTATATTATTTGTTATTTTAAAAAATTGTATGCACATATAAATTTATTTACGTAGTTTAAATATATTGAAAAGATGTAAATTTTGTTTTGCATTTTGTAAAGTCATGTTTATACACTTTCTTCATGTTTGTTGGAGCTTTTCTTTTAAAAGTTTCATTAAACACAGTTTATTATCGAACAGTGGTAAGATTTTTTTTATCAGATCGAACATGAACATATTTTTGAGTGTTAATATATTCAATGTATTGCACAAAAGAATGGATTTTAACTAAGCAAGTTTTGATCTGTCTTTGCAACAGAAACATTATGTGATAATAATCATTATGGTATTAAATCAAGCGAAATCAGTGCTAAGTCAGATCGGTTGTTTTTTTAATCCACCATTTTGTATACGCCCGTTTACGGGACGTATTATGGTATACCTCTGTCCGTCCGTCCGTCCGTCGTCAACATGTCGGACATTAACTCAAAATCGCTTTAACCAATTTGCATAAAACTTAAGTGAATTGTTTATATCTATTGACGTGAGCTCAGTTTCGTTTTTTATAAATTTTAGATTTTACGTTTCCAAGTTATGGGGTTTTATTCATTAAAAAAGGGGGGATTTTCCAGTTTTCGGACAATAACTCGAGAATGCTATCACCAACTTGCAAGAAATTGTGGTGAATTGTTTATATCTATTGACATGAGCTCCCTTTTGATTTATATATATTTTAGATTTTACATTTCCGAGTTACAGGGTTTTATTCATAAAAAAAAGGGGATTTTCCAGTTTTCAGGCAAAAAATCAAAAATGCTTTCAGCAGTTCTTATGAAACTTTGGTGAATTGTTTATATCTATTGATGTAAGTTCCTTTTAGAATTTTATAAATTTTACATTTTACATTTCTGAGTTATGGGGTTTTATTCATTAAAAAAGGGGGGATTTTCCATTTTTTGGACAATAACTCAAAAATGCTGTCAGAAATTCTCATGAAACTTTGGTGAATTATTTATATCTATTGATGTAAGCTCCCTTTACATTTTCATAAATTTTTAATTTGACATTGAGAATTAATTGAACTTTAATTGTTTATAGTCTGACAACAGATTTACTAAGTATTGCGCAACAGCACAGTGTATTGCACAACAGCAAGAAATCTTTAATTGAATATAAATTCAATTCATATAACCAATTTCAAGTTCTTTGACTACATTTATTCAGCAACCAGCGAAGCAGTTTATTACATAAGGAAATGCCTGTACCAAGTCAGGAATATGACAGTTGTTTTCCATTCGTTTGATATGTTTGAGCTTTTGATTTTGCCATTTGATAAGGGACTTTCCGTTTTGAATTTTCCTTGGAGTTCGGTATATTTGTTATTTTACTATTCAAATCAGCATTACTAAACTTAGTAGTGGAATCTCAAATTAAATTTTATAGTTAAAATAATCGTTAATAATTTTGTAAGTCAACTTATTGTTACAAAGAGCAAGAGCAAATCTTATCATGGAGAGAAAATTGTCAAAGTTAACAATGAAAAATTAAATTGCTTAGAGTAAAGACAATCATTTTAACTGTTTTAACTTACTCATCCTTAGCTTTCAAATTTTCGGTTTTGAGATTTCCTAATGAAGGTTAATCCAGAAAAAAACGTTTCGGACGCATAACATTTATAATGTGTTGTTTTCGTTTTTTTACAGCACTGGGTCGATACCTTTGCAGGTGGAATAACAGTCCCCGAGGGTATCATCAGCTCAGTAGTCAGTAGTTCGATACTGACATGATTTATAACAAACCTTTCTAAAATTGTCCGTCTATAAATTTTGAAATTATAAAGAAACTAAGGTTTCAACTTCCTCTGGCAATGTTGACCTTCGATGGATTTGGCTATTTTTTAATGTCTTTTTTGGTCAAATAGCTCTTCAACTGTTTCGGTTCTTATAATTCTGGGCTTTGAATTTTTCGGCTCTGAGCGTTCCTGATGAGGGTAAATCCAGAACAGCGCTTCGGACGCATGCAATTATACAGTATTGTTTCATTTTCTTACACTCAGCTATTGCAATTAATGTCCTTTGGTATAGTTAGCAAAGGCTTTAATGTTAAAAAAAACCTTTAAATTTATTTATTTATTACTTTTAAGTTGAGACAAGAAGAAGAAGAAATCCGAGCTGAAGAAGAAAAGTTCTATGAAGCTAAACGTGAAGCAGCACGGGTTGCTAAATTCCAAAAAGCGAAAGAGACAACTGCCAAAAATAAAACTGCTTCCAGAAGTGGAAAATCATGGCTTGGTGATGATGAAACAGAATGGGAAATGTAATTAATTTTTAAAAGTGTCAGAGTTCAAGAATGTTCCTCTGATACTAGTATGTGGCATTTTCCAAGTATATCTTGAGAATGTTGTTTCTTGTACATTGTTCCCATATCATTTTCTCTCTTAAACACCACTGCTGGTAGATTGTAAGTTCCCAATGTTGTCATCAATTCAGTAGTCAGTGCTTTGGTACTGACATAATTTATAAACCTTTCATAAATTTTCCGTTGTTAAATTAAGAAATTATTAAGAAACTAAGGTTCCAGCACCCTCAGGCAAAGTTGACCTTAGATGAATTTTGCTTTGTTAGGTCCATTTTGGTGATATAAGTTGTGAGTTGGTTTGGTCTTAATATACACTCTTGGCTTTCAAATGTTAGGTCCATTTTGGTGATATAAGTTGTGAGTTGGTTTGGTCTTATACACTCTTGGCTTTCAAATGTTTGGTCCATTTTGGTGATATAAGTTGTGAGTTGGTTTGGTCTTATACACTCTTGGCTTTCAAATGTTTGGTCCATTTTGGTGATATAAGTTGTGAGTTGGTTTGGTCTTATACACTCTTGGCTTTCAAATGTTTGGGTTTGAGCATTCTTGATGAAGGTAAATCCAGAAAAACGCTTCGGAAACATGAAATTAAGGACGTTCGCTACTCTTGTTTTTTAATTTTTGTCAGATATTCGGAATCCTCTAGTTTTATCCATGTTAGTGCCACTAAAAATTTTGCCCGCTAACCCCTATTTTTCTTTTCATAATTTTATTACATATAGTTTAAATAGCCATATTTGAAAATGCTACAAAATCCTTGTTTTTTTTTTAAAGAAAAAGGGTGCCAATGTTAAATGTATGAAAAGTCTAGAGAGAATTATTTCCCGCCAAATTTTCAATGGCTTATATCTCGAAAACAAGCACACGGACCCTTCATTTTTTTCTGCTTTTTTAGTTCCTTTATTTACATACTATCAATTTATAACAGTCTTTTAAAAAGCTTGTTATTTTGAAATAGAGTAGCGAACATCCTTAATACACTTTTGTTTTCATTCAAAATAAATAATTTTTCTTATACATTACACAATGGCTTGGATATACAGACCATCTGAATAATACTTGTCTTCATTATTAGAAATAAGAAAGTGGTTCAAATAACAAATGAATTACTTTATTCACTGTCTAGATGCATATAATTTTAATGTATACAGTAATACAATTTACAATGAAAAAGCAAGCAATTATTTCCTGGAAGTACCAAAATTGACCAGATATTTTGAAGACTCTAGAATACAGTTACTCTTGCTGACTTAAACTTTTTTCATTTTGAAATTGTGCAGACTCGGTTTCATTTTTATATGATAAATATATATTCAATTCCAGTGCAGGAGGAGAAGATGATTTTGATATGTTCTTAGAAAGTGTTAGGGCACGATCCCTCAGAAAGACTCATTTAAATCACGGTAAGTACAGATATAATAGTCGACATTGCAGATTTGTTTGCAAAAATGAAACAGTTCATATATAGTCTATTACGAAGACTCCGTGTAGGCCTTCATTTTGAATTGTAGCAGATTTGCAGCAATAGTAAAATGAGATATACATTTGCTTTAAAATCAAAGTGAAGCTCACATTTTATGCCGAAACTACAGTTGATAAGAAACCTGTATTTTTTAAAATTTGATTAATGTTGGTCTACACTAAATATACCTCAAATATATTGCTTATGTTGAACAGGCTCAACAGATGGACATAGTTCCACAAGTTCTTTATCAGGGACACAGACCAAAGATAAATCATCATCAATAGACTTAGAATGGGAACACGAAGAAGGTAGGCTATACTAAAGTATGTTAGCAATAATATGAAACTGTCACTATGAAAATGGATGAATATGTAAATCAAGAGTTCACTCGATAAAATGTGGTCTCGCCTGCTACGAATCATGATTGAATAAGCTTAATATGACATTAACTTAACATTATTTATGATATATTTGAGGTAAGATGAATCCTATTAAGCTAATCGAATATAGGTGACCTGTCACTTATGATAACTTAGAAATTGACCTTATTACGAAAATTTAAAAGTTGATCAATGAACTTTGAAATTCAGGTAAAGATCAGACGAACCATGTCGGGCATTCAAGTTCACCATTGTCACCATTACAGTTTTTATACTCTCCGAATAATAATGCCCAAAAATTATAGTATTTGAGAAATGTAACTTTTCATAAATCTTAATTTTGACCAATGAACCATGAAAATAATTCAAGATCAGATAAATACTGTAATCAGACATGTTACTTTTTATCCATCTAAACATTAAATATGGTTTACCATTTACGTATAGTATCTGAGAAACAGACATAATTATGAAAAGTTAAGGTTAATCAATGGACTATGCAAATAAAGTCAGATAAACGGTGTCAGACAGGTAGGTACAAGTAAAAGACTTCATACAGGAGCTGCACAAGAAGAATTAAAAGAAGTTTGCATTATATTTTAACTTCACGTTCCTCTATAGTAATGATGACCTCTCTTTAATCATTCTTTTTAAAGTATACAGAAGTAGTAAGAAATTGTCACTTTCATTATGTTTTTTCAATAATTTGAATTGATTTTAGGTGTAGTGCCTCAAAAGCGACAAAGGTCATCAACTGAAGAAAATCTTTATGCCACCATTGGTACAAGAAATAAAGAAAGTCCAGCGCAGTCTGTTGAATTAGAATGGGATAATGACTTTGTATCGGCTGACTGTGATACAGAAAAACTTCTTACATCTGACAAAAGATCTCGAAATGATTCATAATAATACACATTCCAATGTGATATATTTTTGTGGTTGTGGCCACTTAAACTTTTTATGATGTAAGGTGCTTTGTTTTTTTTATACAAAAACAAAACATTTCAGGTATGCTTTATTTGAATTCCAATCACTCTATTTGGTTGATTTATTACTAATTTATTAAAACATACTTAATCTTTCAATCATGTAAATAGTAAACCCAAAGTTTGCAATATATGAGTTCAGTTGAGCCGCCAACAATAGCAGAGGTGCATTATGTTTTCCGTTCTATGAGTTCGTTCTTTCAGTATTGGGTTAAAGTTTTGGTTAATGGTAGATTACAGTTTTGGTTTAGGTCAGTTTGTGTTCACATCAACTTGAAATTTACTGCATATTTTCATTATGAAGTAAACCGTGTAATATATATGCCAAATGCAGTTTTTGACCCTTCTTGGTTTACTGAACATGAATATGTGTTTTGGTTAAAGTTTTAGTTTAAGGTAGGTAAACGTTTTGTTTAAGGTTGTTTGTGGTCACATTAACTTGAAACTTCATACACATATTTGCTATAAAGTGAACTGTCTAGTATATTCCAAATTGGGGTTTGAACAAATTTTCCCGTTCACAGAAAATGGAAATGTGATGGTGCGAGAGGGGCATCATATCCTATGAACAAATATTTTGTTGGTGAATTGATTTATCCAGAAATTACCTGTTTTTCAAAATGTTAATTATTTTCTTCTTACCATTGTCGTCCTCTTTAAATACACAAAAGTGGAATGGTAAGTTTTCTAATGATCTAAGAATCCTTAATTTGACCATATATTATTTCCTATCCATTTGACACAAGGTTTGATTTGATATATTTAAATCATTATATATTGTAACAAGCATTCCAATGCATATCAGAAAAGTGTGAATGTAGAATATATGTTTTTTGTTGTGAGCAATATTTTGGAGGATCCAAGTTTTATCTATAATTCAGTGTATGTTATTGAGAATATATATATATACATTTTATAATGAAGCCTTTATATCTGCAATAAATGCTGTGAAAATAGACTTGTTGAATTTTTGTATGCTGTTTTCCAAATTGGACAGGGCCTCGTTGCCCGAGTGGCCTAGTGTATCTACTGAGGTTGTGAGTTGGAAACACGCACGTGGCATGTTCGTAAGCTCCGATCTTTATTGCCGAAAGGAAAGACGGAAGATGCCAAAGGGATATTCAAACACATTATTCGAAGACAAGCTGACGACACTATGCCAAAAAAAACAAAAACAAAAAACTATGAAAAGACACACCAGAATTTCGTTAAGGTTTTAAGTATGGTACTGGCTACGATTACCTGCAAAAAGTTACAATAACAAATAATTATTGTTACTTCCGATAATAATTGTCGAATTGTATTTCCAGACAAGGACCTGATTTCATAAGAAAATTGTATGTAGCAATATTATCATTTTTTAAAGGCAGTGCTTTAATGCCTTTCTGGTTGCCGGGTTAATCTTTTTCCTTACGCGATGTCCGACATATCTACGTGAGGGGTCATTTGGCCATAATAAGATCCGGAAATGTTGAATTCTCTCCTCTTCTTCTTGTGATATAAAATTTGTTTGTTTCATTTCATTTACATTAGGATATAAGGAAACGTGTGTTTTGTTAGTTTTCAAAACTTTTTGATATATTTGTATTTTGCATTATAAGCAGTCAACCGATTGACAAACTAGAATTATTTGAATTCCGTGTGGAAAGAGGTCGGGTTAATTTCGAGTGTTATTTGCAATCTAGATGTTTTTAAATCATTTCAGTCGTTGATATAACAATTAAAGGTCGACTGAACATGAATTATATTGCATATTATAAAGCGCATTTCTGTTTATGCAAGTGAACGGATGACGTAATTATTATTTCGGTATCAGTTGTAAAAAGTATTATCGTTCCTGGATAGGTGGCGCCGTGGTAGCCGTTCCTGTTCATTAACTTCCGGTATCTGCACTGTGCAAATTTACATGTTTAATTAACGATGCCTAGTACTTGTTGTTGTGTACCTGGATGTCATTTAAGAGGAGGACATGCATTTTCAAATGACTTAAAAAGAAATGAAAGTTGGACCAACGCCATGGCCCATACGCAGATTGGACGAGAACACGAGTCTATCTCAATCAGCTGTTGTTAATGCAAGGCACATTTTACTGAAAACGACTACGTGCAGGAAACTATTCATGGTAAAACTTTATTTTCTTTTAGAAATATATACAGTTATATATTAACGCCGTGCGAATAAACCAAAGTATGTTTACAACCGCAATTATCGTTTTAGAATAAAAGGGGGTGGTTAATTCAAGACTTTTTGAATTACGATTCAATGTATCTGTTTGAGATTTGTTGGTAAATGCTACAATTATAATGATTTCCTACAAGAGGTATATCATACTGAGAATTAATTTAGCAGTAATTATTCTTATGTATGATGTAGTAATGACAGGAATGCATAAGCTTAGTCCAAATAATGACGTCTTGAAAGGCTATTTTAATTTTTTCTGTGATGCCTTCCTACAACCGTAAGACAATATAAGAAGGTGTCACAGAAAAAAAATTAAAATAGCCTTTCAAGACGTCATAATTATTTGGACTAGCATAAGCCATGCCTTATAAGCTTTCTTGAAAAATATCAATGACTATGTTAACAGGAACAAAACAATGACATGCTCTCATCTACATGTATATTATAGTTATTTAGGTACATTGTACGTGTGTTGCATAAGTCTCTCATTGTTTGTTCATTGGATTTACAAACATGTTACATACATTGAATCAGGCAAACATAGTTTTAAACTTTTATCCACATTGTAATGAATAAATCTAGTTAACATTTCGCCAGGTAGTACAAAGTATACATTGCTAATGGAAGTTCATTTAATTTTCAAAAAACTAATATTTTATAACCTTTTTCAGGGCGCAAACTCACCTTACATGTACAGAGACTTATGGCTTCTGCCATTCCCAGCCTATTTTCCTGGACCAAGCAAGAGACTGAATCGTCCACAAAAGAAAAATCAGGGCACTGCAGTTTCCCGTGAAAACAAAAGAACTAAACTGGATGAATAATGTAGGAGAAATCTAGAGGAAAATTTTGATTGTGAAGTTGGTTTCCCCGAAGAAGTCATTCATACTGCAGAAGGATTTATGACTGTCCACCACCAACTGCCGAGCTAATGTTGAGCTTCACAGATGGAATTACGCAAACACCATCAATGCCTATGTAACTGTTTTCAGCAGAGAATTTCGCAAATGATGACACAGCTATGCATTTTTATACCTGTTTAGAGTCGTATACCAAATTTTTATTTGTTTTGACCATGCTTGGTCCAGCAGTACATTTGAGATATATATATTTTCAAATTGATAAGTATAAAAATCAGTTTTTTATGACTGATGAAATTGAGGCATTATACAACCAACTTTCAACTGTCTAGATTGTTTTCAATATCTAAATCTAGTGTTAAGAATATTGTGTATACATTGATTGTTTTTATGTCTAAACAGTGGCGAGAGGCTAACACTTGGCCATCTAGCGGTTTAGTCAGGTATTTTTCGCCATTTGACATCAAATTAAAGTTTCCTTCAACTAGGATTATTGACAGCACAGAATGTCCTGCGAGAAAACCTAAAGTTCCTAGAGCTCAACAGGCAACCTTTTCATCATATAAAAACAGAAACACTGAAAATACTTGTATGTTCGACACTTGAGGGTTTAGTCAACTATGTCTCTAATGCATATGTTGGTTGTACCAGTGACTGTCAAATAGTTGAACGATATAGAGTAGTTCAATTATGTGATCCAGGTGACAGTATGATGGCAGATAAAGGTTTTAATGTGCAAGATTTGTTTGCTAAAATGGATGTTGCCGTCAATATTCCTACTTTTTTTTCAAAAAGAGAAACAGAATTAGTTGAAAAACTCTTATACGGGATAGAAAAGTGTCCAATAAACAGGTGCATAGAGAGCCAATTATTTGACTTGGCAAAACATACAAAATTCTAACAAATCCTATGAATGGAACTGAAACAAAACTTTCATCTGAAACAACATTAAGTTGTTTTATATTGTGCTATTTTAGAACTTGTATTGTGCCAAAGGATGCATAAATGAAAGTGGCGCAATGAATTCTGTTCTGATATATATATTTACAATTACATGTACATGTAAATTGTAATGCATATGAAAATAAGGAGATTTGGTATGATATTCAGTGAGTTTATCAAATCAAAGTGCATAAGAAATGGGTATAAGCAGTTACAGGTGTTACTGTAACCGTACAATCTCCAACAATGAGTAAAACTCATACCGTGTAGAGAATTTCAGAGATCTTACAACTAAGTTTTGTTTTTGGGTTAAATCATTTTCTTCTGTTGTCTTACAAATATGGAGAGGTGGTTAAAATGCTAATGAGACAACTATTATGACAGTGACCAAACAACGAGATGTAATTGTTTTCTTAATTAAGAACTCTTTTTTTATACGCCTGCTTACAGGACGTTTTATGGTATGCATGTACCGTTGACCATCCGTCCGTCGTCAACATGTCGGACATTAATTCAAAAAGGCTTTAACCAATATGCATGAAACTTTGGTGAATTGTTTATTCATTCATAAATTACTTTATACTTGGAAATAATTTTGCTTGGAGTTCTAGTTTCTAGAAAAAGTATGGTCATCCAAAGAGTTGACATGTTGCAATGTAAAAAAATGTAATGTTACTTAATGTTCTTGCAATACACACAATACTGTGACTAAGCAATCATTATGAACTACTTTTCATAGGATGGAAGTCATTAAATATGCTAATATAAATCAATAATAAAGAATAGTCTACATGTATTTATATTAATAAGGAACAGTTCTTTTATGTCTTAAAAGTGCATGTTGTCTGCTCTATGGTCGGGTTGTTGTCTCTTTGACACATTCCCCATTTCCATTCTCAATTTTATACCATGGCGAGGTACCGAAAATCATATATATATACGGTGATTATCACCAAGGTTCAATTTTATTTTCTGAAGTATAGGAAGACAATGTTTACCCCATTGTTAAATTTACATTACTTTTAAGATTAAAATAGATATCTTGAGATTGACTGTATGTTACCATAGTTTACAATAAAATTTATTGAACATATCCATATAAAGTGTATTTTATAATTATGCCACAGTATCTATTTATATCATTAACCATGCCAAAATAAATGCTTGGTATATCCAGTATGTAACTCCACAGATACACACATATACTATGTGCAAGTTAATTATATCAAACGGTCATACAAATTGCCCTTAAACATCAAAGTGTACTGAGATTTAATACCAGCATTCTTGTTGGCATACTTTACCATGAGCTGTGTTGCATAAACATGGCATATACATTTAAATATGTGTTCACCATATTCTTAAAGCGGTTGAATCCAAGGATAGAAGGTTAATACCATCATACATATATAAAATGATAGATAGACAACATCATCTATGCACGATATGTTCAACAGGAGTATTCTACATAGTTCTATGCTACCAAATCAAAAGTTTATATAAAAGAAAGAAGTCAAAGGTTTCCCATCATAGTTTAGTTACATATTTTTTTTTGTACCTGAGGTCGTTGAATATAGATCATTATACAAATAAGGAGATGTGGTATGATTGTCAATTTAACAACTTTCATCCATGCTTACTAGTAACAAACCACATTTGCAAAGTTGAATAAAAATACAGTTGATATCTGGTATTTATTCCTAAAAAGAAAATGCCCAACTATATCAAACAGTATTTGACTATAAACCTAGATAAACAAGGTACAAACTGGACATAATGCACTAGTTCATAAACAAGTAAGAACAATCACCTTCATATAATGCTCAGAATATGACATTCATGAAACTTGTTCAATATCATTAGAGAACTCTTAATCTTAAATACTGGAAGCCACCTCTGATAAGTACACTGTACTATGCAAGATAATGATATAACTGGACTAAAAATACACACAACCTGTAATTAACTGCCTTTA